TGGTCGCCCACATGCATAACATTTCAACTCTCTGTTGCCTTTGCTGTTGTTGTTGTTTCTGCTTGCATTCACCTGTGCATATACATGGATACCGCTTGACTCGCCTGATTCGCCTCGCTTACGTTCACCTTCTTCTATGATTTTAGAGTTCAMAAAACTGAATGATGGTAAATTGTCTCTARTTTCCATAGCTACTACGAAATTATCAAAACTTTTRGGCAAATTTGACAATAACATAATTACCAACACCTCATCAGGTAATGCTATATYCATCTCAGCGAGCTTGTCTGCTACGTTGCTAAAATCATTCAGGTACTTCAAAATATCATCATTTTCCTCCATTTTCATGTTGATCAGCTTTYTATATAATGACACCTTACGTACGGGACCAGTAGCTTTGTACAAAGTCTCCAGTGCTTTCCATGCCTCCAACGACGATTTGCATTTCCTTATATGCATAAGCTGCGACGTCTTTACGCCAAGTGTAATGGTAGCTAGAGCCTTCTCGTCAAGCTCATCCCACTTATCTGCCACAGCTATATTTCGCACGAACTTTCCGCTGACGATTTTCCACAATTCCGTGTGTATAAGGATGCTCTTCATTTGGGTACACCAACTGTTGTAGTTATGGCCATCCAGCTTATCTATTTGCATCAGAGCCGCTGAACTCATTTTTACTTGATGTTGAATTTTGTCTTTACAAAATAAGTCTTTCACTTTCACTAACTATAGTTATATCGCAATTATATATGTCGTTTTAAATCAAATAATAGATTAGTTCCCCGATCTCTCATTTGTCTCTTAGCAATTCTTTAACTGCACGTGTCTTTGCGAAATCTTTTTGTCTAAAAAAAAAAAACCACGTGGCTCTGGGCCCATAACCTATGTTAGACTGAAAAAACAATGTGTAAGCACTTAATTCTATGTGCAAGCAATACATAAGCGTTGCCATATGTTTTTTTTATTTTCAACATTTTATGTGCCCATTTAAATACTAGCTCGTCATATATCTCCTTCACTCCAAAGTTTTTTTATTAGCGCTCGTTTCACACACTCCCACGTTGGCGATGCACCCAGCGTGCGTTAAATGTGAAGAAAAGGACCTTGTAATTTATTGAGAATTATACGTTCATATAAATTATTGCCGGTTATAGTGAAACGGCTAAAACAATTTGTATTTTTAGTCAAGATTACTTTTATTGTTAACTGTTCTGCTAAAAACTAAATTACAATATCAATTATCAATTATTTATAACTTAAAAATTACTTATGCTAGCACTATTGATTTATTTATTTGTGTCTCGTTATGACGGATGTTGATTCGTGAATGGTTGGCATTATGGTTGGTCAGCATTAATTCGTGGCTGTAGTTTATACTGCGCGTGCCGGATTATGATTGGTATATTGTTTATCCAGCATTATTCTGTTTATCGCAGTTTAATATTGCTAACTTATATGTATGTTTGGAGAGTAGGTTGCTCTCCACTAGAGTTTGTATTGACTCCACTTCTCTTATAAACGATTATAACGCATATGTATTGTCGCCGTTAAATGACAATTGATTGAGCATCTTTGATGATGTCGGTCGCAGTTAGCTGCAATGTCATGATGTCATAATCCCGATTTGGTCAAAAAAAATTGTGCGACATTAATTTAAAAATAAAAACACACGTTTTTTCTATGCAATTAAATCAAAACAAGACTATACATGGAATTACTTAATACGCTGAAAATTAATTTTTAATACTGGGTTCCAATAACATATTTAGTTCTAGTATATTGACATCGTTTTAGTCTCTCTGAACGAGTGTAATCTTACTAATTATATGGAAACGCCTATCTCAATAGTATTAATAAATAATTTTGAAAATCACTATTTTGGATGTGTTTGGCGCTTCGAAACTGAGTTTTTCTGTGTCGTGTATTTAGGATAACTTTATGGTTATTATTATTTATTTTTGTTTCATTGTCTTTGACTAATTGACATTTTCAATAGAGGCTCGGAATTTAAGAGATAAATTTTCTTTGCTCAAAGGCTGTGTACAGTACAACACTCAATTTATGAGATTATATTCGGTAGAACTTTAGCTAGCCACAACTTTATACCGTTTGTGTTAGCCTAGTGAAAATGTAAGGATTCAAGATCACAAACAAGTATTGTGTCCCTTTTGGAACTAAGGGATACATGGCCTGGTGTAAATGAAAAACCTGAACTCGTTAAAAACTATGCTATTAAAATTGACATTAAGAGCGCAAACAAGCGAATTCCGTAAACCCGTGGCCCGAATCAGCTGAAACGACCTATCTACTCCCATCCTCAGTTGCCGTCCTTAGCGAGCAAAATCTGTCAAAAGTAAAAATCGACCATATTTGTTTGTTTTCATTTGAACAATGATGCCATTGCTCAATACGCACATATAGTTTTGTATACATCTAAGTTTTCAATTACAATTCTTCATAATATAAAATATAAAAACTGAAAACATACGTACATTTCATACCATACTTAGTTTTCAAAAGAAAAATATTTTCAACACTTTCAAAGTGATAATATGTGAAATGAGATGAGCTTTTGTTGACTAATAAAAGTGTGATAACTCACTAACTAAACATGATATGAGAAATTAAAAATTATACACAAATTCCGTGCATATATGTACTTAATATCATAATGAGTGGAATCGGACAAACACAACGCCTTTGTTAAATCACAATTTTTAATTCCATCTTAATCTGTGTAAAAATCAAGTATAGGAATAAAACTTTTAAGAAAGAGTGTAGTTTAAACATAGCAACTTACCCTTATGCCAAAAAGGGGTAAAAGGGGTCAACACTTCCTCTATACCTCATACTCGTACGAAACATTTCGTATTACAGATTGACTATATCGTAGATATCGGACAATTTGTGAGTTAATATAACAAAGAGAGCATCTCTTTCTAGTAATACTTATAGTGTTAGCCCCATATAGTTACTTAATAAAGAATTTAAAAAAGCCGTTCAACTTTATATTTTATGCAAAATATTAGTGAGGTATCCTAATGAAAGTTTGCATGCCTTTTTTCTTGGTAATTTTATATCGTGTTACTATATCTGCATTTCTTCGAAATGCAGCTCCCTTTTTAAATTTTTATTATGCTACTCTATATATGTATATCTAAATACAGTAAAGACGTTACAGTTATAATTTTTTTTATTAATAATAGATACGAAGGAGAGTGGTATAATAACAAGAAACATGGCTACGGTGTAACTACATTCCGAGACGGTTCATTTGAAGAAGGCAAATATAAGAATAATATTTTAATGACAAGCCAAAAGAAGAAGCACTTGTTTCTTGCGCGATCACGTAAGTTCCGAGATCGCATCAACATAGCTGTAAATTCGGCACAAAGGTCGTTAAAAATGGCAATGCAAAGGTCTGATATTGCCATTTCACGTACTTCAACTGCATCTGACAGAGCGCAAAATGCCGACATTGCAGCTGATAAAGCCCGCATTGATTGTGAAATCGCTGTTAGTATGGCGCGTGAATTTGCTCCTGATTTTAAGCCATCAGTTTTAGACAGATTTCAAAAACTATTTTCTCGAAATCATTTTAAATTAGGCTATTTAAGGGGAAACTGCTCTTCATTACCTTATAATGAAAATAGTAGATCACCAAATAAAAGAGGACTCTTACTAAAAGAATTGAATGAACCCGATCTCAATGCGTCTCTTCGACAGCAATCAGATATTTTGTCTCATTCTGTACCCTCACAAAAACTGCATGTAACGCCACAAACGGATTTTGCCCATTTAGTTAATCAACCAAGTCAATTCCGTAACAGTTCTTTTGCTCATATTTATCCTTCACAAATCAAAGGCAATAAAGAACAATTGAAGCAGTATCAAGAAAATATTCAACGTGATTTTATTAGAAACAATGAGATGCAAGTTGACAATTTGAATGAAGAAAAAAGCACTTCACCATATAGCCACAGAATGGGAAAAAATTACATCGCAGTTGGACAAAATCTAACCAATACTTCTGTCAACAGTTATATTTCGTACGCTAATTCAGATCGACTGGATGACTATATGTACAATAACTCTGAGCGCAGAACTAACTTATTGCCAAATAACTCAACAGCAAATTATAGTGAACATCTAAAATCTCATCAGCAAAATTCTACACAAACATTCACGCAGCCATTGTCCAATCAACCTTCCCAATTTTATCGAACGTCACCACAAAAAACAGAAATATTAGGAGAAGCAAGAAAAACCACAAGGCCACCTCCACTGTGTGAAACTGGTCACCAGTTATCTATTGATTACTTTGACCACTATAAGAAGCCTCCAAGTCGAGACTCATCCACCGATCGATATGCTCGAGCAGCTAGCCACATTAGCTCACGCCAACCTTCGATTGACCAATCAATGCCTTCACAATCACGAAATATGCCATCACCTAATAAGGAAATTAGACAACGAGAGGGCTCACATAATCCAGCCAATGTATCGAAATCTGTTACTAATAAAGTAATGACTAATATGTCAAATCAAATGCTAAATGCAATAGAAAAAATACCGTCAATAAATCAACCTTTCGAAGATGTTCTTTTGTATCAGCGAACATTAGGTCAAGATATTATTCCGTCCGCAATTACTCCTAAACGAACCGAAAGCTTGTATACTCCTGCCAAAGTTTTTATTCCAAAAGGGACCACGGTTAACTCTAACAACTATACAGGAAGCAAACCAGTAAAGGTATGTATATTTATTTATTTGCCAATTATATCAAACATTCCCCATAAATAGGGAAAATTTTGATTAATAGGATTTTAAAACATATAATAAAAACAAGTATTTATCCAAACAATTATTTCTAAACACATTTTATTAGTATTAAGGTAATTTGTATTTCATTAGTTACCTTGAGCTTTATTGGTTGCATAATTCTTTGTACGTATAAAACCTACATTCGACACATATTAAAAACATATTGGCTTAAGCAATTCTCAGTAATATAATACATTTGTACTATGTACTCTTCTATTAATGTATTATTCAAAATGCATTCTTTTGAAATTTTAAAGCTTAGTTTTCCTGGATCACAATTTTGCTTCTATCACTGATAGAACAATAAGGGTTTTTTAGGCAGTATTGCTATGTGAATGCACATTTCTGCGCCATTTGTTAGTCGTTGAAATTTTCAGTGAAATGCCACACCCACAAAACTCCATTAATCGAAAAATTATAAAGTGCCATAACTCAGTCGTAAATTAGGATTAAGAACTAAAATTTTGCACAGCGACTCACATTAAAGTGAGGCATATGTGGTTTTAAATTTTTTTAAAAGTGGGCAGTATACCACTGGAAGTCGTTTCTTCTTTTCGCTATTTAGTGCCAGTTCGATATACCAAGTGTAGCCAGGTCCTTTTTCACCTCATCTCTCCAACCGAGTGGAGAGCTGGACTGTGCTCATCCATCCGAACAACATGACCTAATCAACGCAGCCACTGTCTATTGATTCGTTGAACTTTATCGCATATCTCTTACAGTTCATAGTTCCATCGTCTGTGCTATTCGCCGTTGCCAATGCGCAAAGAAACGTAAATGTTATGAAAAAACTTTCTCTCGAACACTCCTAATGYCAACACATCAGATGATGTTAGTGTCCTTGCCTCCACATTATATATCATCGCGGGAATAATGGGGAACTTTCTTCGTCGAGAAAGGACTTTACTTTTCAATTATCTACTCAGTTCAAAGTGGTACCTGTTGGCAGAGCGATTCTGCATTGGATTTAAAAGCTGATATTGCTGTTGGTGTTAATATTGATAGATAGACCAAATTATTTACGACTTTTTTTTTCTTCTCCTCGTTTACAACCAGACCTATTCAACTTGCTTCCAAATCTAGACTGAGAAAAGCGTTTATTGAGGTTAATTATATCAATACCATTGGCATACGCCAGCTATTATAGAATATTGTACTTTTCCTTTTAGCTCTGGAGCACGTATTATTTTCTCCAGCAATATATTGGAACAGTCACATGATAGACAGTCTTCTTGTCTGAAACCTCTTTTAGTATCGAACGGCTCGAAGAGGCTCTTCTCGATCCTGACAGAGCTTTTGGTGTTGCTCAACGACAGCTTACTCAGCCCTATTAGCTTTGCGGRGATACCCAGTTTAGACAAATCGGCAAAGAGGCAGTTCCTTTCCAGTTTAAAATCACGAAGAAATGTTGTGTGTCGATCTTCCTTACAAGAGTCTTTTTCAAGATTTGGGTCATGGTGAAAGTCACACTGACAAAACTTTTTCACGCACTACGCTGAACAAGACCTTAACGTGATTTGGTGTAGAGCGGCGGTTCCGTATCTTCGCTACAACAAGATCATGGTTAGAGTCGTTGTTAGGTCCTCGGAGCGTACGCACATCAAAGAGGAGACTGTATACATGCCGTACATCTATCATAATATCATCGATCTGGTTTTAAACTTTTCGACCCAAAAACAGCCAGGCAGATTGATAAATTGTCTTGTGCTGAAATCTAGTACAAAAGACAGCCATATTTCAGGACCCTGCAGAGTCGATCCGCCTCAAACCATCGTCTGCGGTTCCGAACGTTCATGAAGAGCATCTTTGATCTTTGCTCATATCGGCTTCCTCTATTTTAGTCGCTCCACACAGAACGGCCCGCATCTTTCGCAAGGGCTTTTCACGTTCCTAGGATGCGCGACGAGGGCGCAAGATGGGAATTAATTAATAAAGATGATAAGACATCATGTAAATGACTTCTAAGCAGAAGTAGTATTATAAAAATTCAACCTTGAATAGCTTCGTTATGCTGAAAACAATTTTTTAAGTTCATATACACATATAATTTCTTCACTGAGGTATGTTAAAGAAATAAATCTTCAGATTTCAKTTAAATATCGAACATGTTGACCGACATAAAAGCTTTAAATTCAAATGGTAAGGAGGTTAAGGTTTGTTTGGTTTGGTGTGATGGCTGATCAAAGATCACACTTAGACTAATAATGTAGTCATTTGTGATGCTATAGAAAAGAACTCCCGTGTTCGAACTTACAGATTGGCGAAGCGCTTTGTAGCCAATATATAGTTACACAAACGCTTAACTTCAACACCCTCCATTTCGGTGGGATGTCCGAAGGTATGCGCCCCCAAGTGTTTAAGTCTTGACTTCCCAAACGCGGGACAGTCAAGCAGGAAGTGCTGGCTTGTTTCTACCGCATCTTCTTCCAAACAGCTTCTACAGTCAGCTTCTAGTAAGATACCCATTCTTACCGCATGTAAGCCAATATTACAGTGGCCTGTTAAGAGTCCCACTGGTAATGAGAGGTTAGCCCTTTTGAGGCTTAAGAGCTCCGAGGAGGTTAAGGTACTTTCGTTAAATATGCTCGAGAACATGTTTTCAAACAATTTTATAAAGACAACTCGAAAAAATTTGCTGGAATAAAGAAAATGATTATGTATAGTATATGGAATTCTCGTGGACCAAATTCACAATGTTTCAGAAATAAACACTATATATACCTTCTATGTATACGGTGTAAAGTTAACCATAAGTTTGAATTTCATATATTAGATATATATAACTTCGAAGTATCTTCTCTAATTATGAGTAGATGAGGAATTTGAAAGTGAATTCGGAAAAACCTCTTTTACAATTAAAAGTTTTAGAAGTATTTCCTATAGTTACCAATAATTACTAAATTGTTCTTGTATTATACCTGTGACGAATTGCAATAATGTGCATTTAGTGTCCAAATAATCTTTTAACCGTTTCCTACCATAAAATTCATGGCATTTGGAAAGAACAAAATATAGCGAAAACCAACTTTAAGGGCATTATACGAATGTTCATGCGAAGAATATACAGTAGACGAAATTAGAAGACGTTTCTACTTGATAATGTTAAATACTCCAACAATTAATTTTTTATTCTCTTTGAATATGATAAATATAGAATAATGGTTTTGTTCACCTTTGTTCTTAGCACCACTTAAGGGGTCAGTAGGGTAATCTGCCCTGTTTTTCTGTCATTTTTTTTTTCATAGACATTTTTATTCTACAATAGTAGAAAAAGTTCACATATCATTAGGTATATAAACAATTTTTTTGGAATCTTTTTGATAACATCTGTCGGAGAAATGGCTGGGTGAATGAGACGCGTTTTTTAACTGGCGGACACGATTTCTCATGTTTGGATCATCTGAAACACAAAAACCCAATTTATTCTTAATAAGTACGTGAAAGGTCGTCTCTACTAGAATCATGAAAAAATTTTGACAAATAAAAATTAATTAACTTTTTTTTCATTTTTCACCCATGTTTTGTTACATAAATTTTGTTATAACATTGTCAATAAATTAGCAAAAATTATGAATCTAGTAGGGACGATAGCCATTCGTTTTGTGAACATTTATAAAAAAAGAAGCAAATCGGTTGTGTAGGTGGACCGGAATCATGTCCGCCAGTTGAAAAAAGTGTGTTTTGAGAAAAACGCGTTTGACGTCGAGTGGTATTACTATTTCTAGGTCTTTTTCGAAGCCTTCCAACGGTAAAGTGGGCTTCTACATTAATTATAAGGTATAAAGGAACTGAAAATGCAGGAAAAAAAAATTCTCTACTGACCCCTTAAAGCTAACTTTAATAGATATGGAGCCATATATATACATAAACGATCATCATTTCGTTCTCTGTCTTTGTCAAAACGGTCAAAATCGGTGGAGCTCAGTATCTCAGATGACTTTAAGACAAATATGTGGCCCAATACAATTCTTTTTAAATTCGTCTATCCATATAAGTAATAGGTAGCACCTCTTACTGGTCCTATACCAAAACAAGTGAGGAAGGGCTAAGTTCTCGTGAAACCGAATATTACATACTCATCAGATGTTGACAAAACTGTGAGTGAGTTGAATGCGAGAGTATCACCGAGAATTCATCCATTATTTCAGAATTTCATTAGGGATTCTTACATATTGACCGATAGAAGCGGAAAAGTGAACTGAAAGTTCKGAATTATTTATATTAGATAACATACTTGTATATGGGGGCTAGGAGAAATTTTTACCCGATTTTACAAATTTTTAGGTAGTTATGTAGGAGTGCAGCCATCTTGGCTAAATTAGCACTGACTGTGCAATTTTGATGCACTAGACGTAGACTTTTTATATTTACTATCACTTTTCAATTCTCTTTCAACCCATTTTGAAGTTTTGTTCTTGGCTACAACTGTTTAGTTATACATAACAAAATGCAATGTTTTTTAATCTATTATTTGATGAAATTATATATTGATCTCTCCTTTCATCGATTCTATCGGACTTGGTATTAAGTCAGCCTCGGATTCGTGTACGAAAGCTCCTACCTTTACCAACTCGTCTGCCTTTTCGTTGCCAAAAATGTTTCTGTGGCTGCGAGCTCAGATCAAGTCTAGGTGGCTCTTGTCTTTTAGTGAGCTCAGTGCTTTCTTGCAATTAAAGACTATGCTAGAATTTGTCATGGGCGACGACGAGGTCAGGAACGCCGCCTTTCTATCTGTGTATGTTGCTGCTTTATGTATCCTCTCGTAGTTTCTCTATGCCTAGTACTTCCGCTCGGAAGATGCTTGCCGAGTTCGGTAGACGGATAGAGAGAGAAATGCCCAGATCATAGGAAAATAATCTTGTGTCTACTCCGCAGTCCAGTTTGGACGTATCGGTATAGGCTGAGTTGGTATCTTCCTTCCCTATTAT